CACTGAACTAAAAAGTTTAAAGAACCCATTTGGATTCCCTAAGAGATCGACTATTTGAGGACGAAAATTTTTTCTAATCGGTCAAATTATCGGCCCCCAACTTTTCTTTATCCAACGTAAAAAAATTCTAGGATTTAATTAATTTTTAATTAATGCAGTTGATAGTATTGGCAAAAAATGTTTCACTCATCGGCGCATCATCATTATTTCTTTTAAACATGTTACCTTATACGTTGCTTAATTGAAATCTCTCTTAACTCTTTTTCCACGTCTTCTTCGTTTATGGAACTTATCCGGAGATACTTGGGCTCTCCTGAGGAAGATAGTGGATCTTTAGGTGCAGAAACGGTATAAAGATATGTGATTAATTATTTCTTTAAGGTTGAAAAGTTAGTGGATCGTCTTCAATCCTCAATGAGGCTAGACGATCGTCGCGATGCTCTCCGAGCCCTTAAAGCTTTGTCAAGGGTTTGTTTTACTTTATCCCTATCTTGTAAATAGAATTTTAGGCTAGAAGTTGGGACTTTGGCTATGCCTAATATTGTAAATAGTCTGAAGCAGGACAGGTATATTGTATTTATTTAACGATTTAAGCCGTGATTCAGACATCATTTGTTATTCCTTAGAGGCATTAATGAATGTTATGTCTGATGGATTTACCTTAGACACCCCTAATGATTCTGATTTGCCTGCTGATTTGGGTGGGCAATTTACCGAAATATTCATCAAAGATATCGACAATGTCAAACTTATTGTCGGCTTTATTGACGTATTTTATTTTCGAGTTTTATTCCCTTCTAGGCCTACGATTTACACATACGCCGTTTTTCCGTTCGATTTTTAACAATTCTCCTGAGTAATCGACTCCGTGATGTTCAGGACATTATTCTTAAGTGTCCCATGGCTATTTCAAAAATTGTTGATACATTATCTGACTCAAGGGAGGCTCTGCGAAACGATGTAGTGCTCGCGTATTTTATTTTGCTATTTTTAGGGACTCCTATTGCTTATCGAAGCTACAAAAGGACATTCAAATATACAAAAGATTGTCGCATTTGAAAATGTCTTCGATCGTCTTTTGAACATAATCTGTTCTGAGGGCCTAAGTGATGGAGGAATCGTTGTGGAAGATTGCTTGAAACTACTACGGCAGCTTTTAGAGTCAAATCCTCCAAACCAAACCCTTTTCAAGGAAGGAAGCTTTATTCAACGTCTGAAGCCATTTGTCTCATTAAGTCCAGAAGATATCAGCAGTCAGCTTGGTTGGTCAGCCCAGAAAGTTGCAAATGTGCAGTTAATGCTCCAAGTAGATTTTTGTAAAAATATTTCTTAGCAAATCATTTGTGTTATTTGCTCTTAACCCCATTATCCTTTTCAGGTTATTCGTATTCTTGTCTCTCCAAATAATAAATCCCAGGTCACACATGCCTGTCAAACTGCTATGAATGAATGCAAACTTCTCGCAAGCTTATGTGATATTATAATGGCTCATGGTATTCCTTCTGATGTTCTAACTGAAGCCATATATGCTGTTGCCGAGGTTATTCGGGGTTGTTCTATAAATCAATCCTATCTTGCTGCGTTGACTGTACCTTCCGAGCCTCCTCAGCCGGCTGTTACGGTACTACTTATCTCCATGGTTAATGATAGACAATCTTTGGTTGTTCGTCAAGCCGTACTCTATTGCTTTCAATGTTTTCTTGCGTCGAATCCAGATGGACAGGCTGAAATTGTCTCTACTCTGTTGCCCAAAACAGCCCAAAGTACTATATTTTAATTTCCTCCTTTATTCTTGTTGGCCTAATATAATATTAACTAACGCTTTAATTTTTAGGTCATGATATAACAGCTGGACAGCTTTTATGCCGCGGGCTTTTCTCACACGATTCTCTTTCAATCTGGTTTTCTTCGATTTCATTCCTACACATAATAAGAGCTAATCGTCGTCTAAAAGAGGAACTTTTGAGGGTTCACTTGGCACCAACCATCGATAGTCAGCCTGTGAGCTTACTGCAACAAACGTATTCACTCGTCAGTCAAGTAAGTTAGTTTTCAACGTAGAAGTTTTCTACTTTTATGATCACAGTCTTGCTTTTTAAAGTAATGCGTATAAGATGGCATTACTGCATTTTATTAACCCA